GACCCCAGAGACGGGGATGAGGTGGTATGGAATGGGATGGGGACGGGATGAGCACGGGATGGGGACGGGGCCAGATGCCTCCCTCCGCCCCCACATCCCCCCGGAGCCCCCCGAGGGGCCGTTGGAGGGCACCGGGCTGGAGGCGTGTTCCGAGCCGCCCAAGGGCGACGGGTAACCTGGAGAGAGGGGGGGAGAAAGAAAGGAGCTGGGTCATCCTGGAATCCACTGGAGGGGATGGAGAGCTCCCAACAGGTCCAGGGGTTGGTCGTGGAGGGATGGAATCAGCCCCCCCAGATCCAGGAGTTACTCATGGAGGGATGGAATCAGCCCCCCAGGTCCAGGGGTTAATAACCCTAGAAGGACTAAATCCCGGATTTAATCCTGGAGTGATCCAATCATTGCCCCAAATCCAGAATTTAACCCTGGAGTGATCCAATCATCCCTCCAAATCTGGAATGATCCAATCATTCCCCCAAATCCAGAATTTAACCCTGGAGCGATCCAACCATTCCTCCAAACCTGGAATGATCCAATCATTCCCCCAAATCCAGGATCTAATCCTGGAATCCCCTGGAGGGATCCAACCCTCCCCAACCCCAGGGATTTGATCCCAGATACCCCCTGAAACCATTAACTCCCGCCCCAAAACCCCGGGATTTCAGCCCAAACCAATAAATCCCCAGGATTTGCCCCCTCCCCCCTCCCTCCCAGGGGCTCTCCCGACCTTGGGAATGCTGGTCCATGGGGCTGGGGGGGGGTCCCATCCCGGCGTGGCCCCCCGGGCGCAGCCCCATCCCCTTCATGGTCCCGTAACGCGGGTCCTCGGCCAGGCCCTTCTCGTGCAGCGCGTCCAGGGGCTGCCGGGCGGAAATCCCGGGAAATCAGGGCCGCAGGGAGGGCAATTCCCGGGAAATCAGGGCCGGAGGGAGCCAGCCCGGAGTGGTCCCGGAGCTCCCGGACCCTCCCAGGCCATTGGAGTGGGGTTTGGGGGTCAAAAACTCCCAAAAAGTCTCACACACAGTGACCTTCCAGTGCCATCCCAGCCCTTCCCAGTGCCCTCCAGTGCCCTCCCAGTGCCCTTTCCAGTGCCCTCCCACCATCTCCCAGTGCCCTCCCAGTGCCATCCCAGCCCTTCTCAGTGCCC